TTTAAAAATGACTTTGCAATACCTGATAGCATGATATGGATATATAAAGGCTTATATATGTGCCATAAAGGCTTAGTAATACATTTATAATGTTATAAATGACTCGAGGGCTGGGAATGTGGCTTAATGGTAGAGTGCTTGCCTAGCATGCATGAAGCCCTGGGTTCGATTCCTCAAAACCATATAATAAACAGAAAAAGCCGGAAATAGCACTGTGGCTCAAGTGGTAGAGTGCTAGCCTTGAGTAAAAGAAGCACAGGGACAGTGCCCAGGCCCTGAATTCAAGCCCCAGAACTCTAGTGTAGCATTGAAGGTATGTACCAGATTTATTGATGGCTATTAGAGTGGTAGCTTGCTGTTGCTGGGATTATGCCTTGCTCCAATAATCAACACTGAGGCAAATAAATTTTACATCTTTCATTACTTCTTTGAGTATCTTCTTAGGTTGGATTTTAAAAAGTAGTACCAGTATCAAAGAGCATACATAATTAAAAATTACAACACAACATCAATCTGCCTTCCAGAAATATTATACCAGCTTCTATTTCTAAGAGCAGGGTCTGAATGTCTAACTTCTCCACTGTCATAAATGTAGGACATTGCAGGAAAATTGTCTCTCATTTCTGCTTTCATTGCTTTCTAGCAAGACAAAATATATTTGACTTGACAGCATTTGTTAGGCTTGAATATTTCTTCTGTGTATCACTTCTTTACATTCCTTTCCTCTTCTCAAACTTTTGTATTTGTCTTTTTCTCAATAATTTTCAAAGCTTTGTTTTATATGTTGAAAAGCTGTTTGCCCCTAAATTATTCCTTTTTTATGGTTCTGTTTTGCCTTGAATATAGTCAAAGTGCTTTTCCCCTTAGAAGCGTGTGTGTATGTGTGTGTGTGTGAGCACACATGGGCACATGTGCACACAGGTGTGCCAGTTCTGGGACATGAACTCACAGCTTAGCTGGAAGTCTCCCATGTTTTGAAACAACAGCTCTATTTCTGCTCTTTGCTGGTAGGGTCTCCTAGACTTTCCTGCTGGGGCTGGCTTTGAACCATAATCCTCAGATCTCAAATTTCTGAGTAGTTAGGATTACAGTCCTGAGCCACCAACCCCCTGGCTAGCATATAGATTCTTAAAAGATGTCAAAGGTAGTCCCAGATTATTTTATTCTGAAAGCTGAGCCTCCACTTAAAGAGGCTATGCCCCTGGGTCTACCTGAACTCTGCTTTCCAGAACCTGAGTGTGGCCATCTTAGTATCAGGTAGAAATAATCTGAAAACCTGGATCCTGCGTCTTCTGGGAGTTCTCAGGGTTGCCAGGCTTGGCCACCAGCTTTCCAGAGGAATCAGCAAAGCTCTCTGTGCCTCATCTATCCATAGCACCCTTGGAGTGAAACCACCCAACCTCTTTCATCTAGGCTAAACCATTATAGCCAATGCTGCTTGAGTCTTTATAAAGGTGTAGACTCCAAAACCACGATGGTATGTGGAGTGGAGGTTTAGGGCTTACCATCAGGGCAGAAATCTGCAAACTTACCGGACATGTAGCTGGTTCCCTTAACCGCAGTCAGAACTGGAGCATTTCAACACAGCCTGGTGGCAAGAGGCCCATTCAGGGGATCAGGAGGTGACACAGAGCAGGGAAAGAAGGAAGTGGTAGTTCAGTTACTGAAACCTAAGCATTCCCATTTCACCACCAGCCTAGTCAGGGTGCAGCAGGCAAGGATAAGAGAGGCCGGAGCAAAAAGGCACAGCTAGGATTAAAGGGCAGAGGAAGTAGATGAAACTATTTCTTCTGGATGAGCCACAGGCTCAAGTGCCTTCTCTGTGCACAGACACACACAGGCAGGACCAAATCCCTTTTCCCAACTAGAGTAGTGCCACTGGCCCAGGTCCCTGGTGGAGCCAAGGTACCCCAGAGAGGAAGGAAAATTAGCCACCAAAGGGAGACTCTATGCTAGAGTCTAGGCTAAAATCTCCCAAAGCCAAGGCATTAGCTATTTAGAAAAGTGAGGGAAGAAAATGAAGGGCTGAATAATTTAGCAACACTGAAGCCAGTTCCAGGCACCCAGATGTGTGATGAACAGATTGTCTGGCAGCAACAGGCTAGTTAAAATAAGTCACACAAATGTAATTTGGTTGCCAAAGGCGTGTTCCTCCAAGTTATGTTCTGTCTCCTCAGTTCCAACAAGATTCTGTAACAGGTCCCACAGTCTTACAGGTTAAAATCCTGAAATGGAGGGGAGTGGGTAGGGACAAAGATGAATGTCCCCATGGCTTAGTCTCTGAGAAAAGACAGTCAGCCCAAAGTCACATGTAGCACACAATAGTTCAGAGATGGGATGTCACAGACTCAATACATGTGACCTTCAAGAGAACAAATCCAAGGGCACAGACCCCAGGGAGGCAGATCTGGGACTCGGGACAAGGAAGGGCTTTGTGTCACTGAAAGCTGTCAAACTTGCAGTCTCTCAGGATGCAGGAATTTCCATAAGCAGAATCTTGTAGAAGTGTATGTGGACTACTATAGGAGTCCCAGCACAGTCATAACTTATCTGTGAGGTCCCTTCCTGAATGAAAGTGATCTTTCCATTTCCGGCACTCTGGGAAAGAAGACAGAATTAGAAATGACTTACCATCTTAGTTGTCCATTTAAATGAATGTGTGTACACGCATGTACACACACACACACACCTGAAGGTGATCCACAGCACTTGTGGGATCCATTCTAGCTAAGACTCAGAGGCTTGGGCCATGCAGTCACAGTGAGCCGAGGGGAGCCCACCAGGAATAAATTATGGGCTGACAAAAAAAAGGAGAGTTCTTGGGCAGATGAGAACATCAAGGCTGAGCCTACGTGTGTGTGTGTGTGTGTGTGTGTGTGTGTGTGTGTGTGTGTAGGGGGGTAGGACCCTCCTGCTTCACTGTGTCACTGCCTTCCCAGCAAAGTTTGTCTGCTGTCCTGGTATAACAGAAGTGAGCAGGACATCCAACAGCAACCCCCTGGTTTCCAGATCCCACACTGATAAGGCCCAAATTCCCTTATGGTAGAGGCAGAACAAAATGAGCTCTCCTTTCACTCTGGTATGTTTCAGGGACAAGGTTCTGAGAACTTACCCTCTTGGAGTATAGAAAACACAGGATATGGCATATTGCTATGAATATATCTACATTTCAAAACATGCATTTGCTGGACAATATCTACATTTCAAAACATATGTGTGCATGCTGGGTACCAGTGGCTCATGCCTGTAAACCTAGCTATTCAGGAGGCTTAGATCTGAGAATCGCTGCTCAAAGCCAGCCTGGGCAGGAAAGTCCATGTAGTCACTGAAAAAAGCCAGAAGTGGTGCTGTGGCTCAAGTGGTAGAGCACTAGCCTTGAGCACAAAGAGGCTCAGGGACAGGGCCCAGGTCCTGAGTTCTAGCCCCATGATGGACCAAAAAAAAAAAGTGTAACATATGCATTCCTCCACTTTGGAACAAAAGTATACTCTCTTGACTAATGAGAGCTCCAAGAGTAAGCTTTATGATACACCTTTTCCAAATCTATGTGCTTTCTAATTTAATTTCCTTCATGGTAGACTTTTTCTGCCATTTTTGTGTTCTGATGTTTTGGACCCTACTTGTTGACAAAAGGTGAGGTAGCCTGGCTACTTTGAAAACCCCAAAGCAAACATCATGAGAGATAATCAAATATGAACATCTTTGAGGAGCTTTCAATAAAGTGGCCTAGGAGATGATGGCCAGTCAGCAATTAGGGACTGGTGGTGTTCTTTGACATTAGAAAGCAACAATAAGCTTCCCTAAAGCCAAACAGGCTTAGCCAACAACTCTTATGAATTATAATCAGCAGGAACTCAAAGTAAAGAGCAGTCTGACTTCAGGACAAATGAAAGGCCATGGCCTTTGCTGGCAATGCAACGCCATATAATCTCGCTCTATCTGCTCTGACCCAGGGTGTCTGCTCCCAGATGGTAGTGACAGGAAACAGCCTCCTGGGATGGTCCTCTAGAGATCTGCCTGTTTCCTGATGTTGGGCTACTTTTCCAGCCTGAGGGAAGGAACAAACCTATCAGAAGCCACAGCTGCCTGACTTGTTTAAGATGATGCTGAGGCACAGGAAGGCTAGAAGCCAGACCTTGCTCCTGTCAGGAATGTCAGTGCCCTTTCTCCATCATCTTCTTTAGTTTCTTCCTTATTCATCTCAGGGCCCAGCTTGCAGGGAAAGCAGAGTACTGCATTATGTATTAGCTCACTGTCACCACACCATAAAGTAGTCCTGGAGAGAAGGCATAGGACTTGGCCTGGCAGCAACCTTAACTTACCAGTAAGGAACTTGTCAGCAAGACAGCCCCATGGGAGCCAAGCTGAATCCCCACTCACCTCACAGCCTTACTTCCCTGTTCCATCGGGTCCTACAAACACTAGCTAAGCACCCACTGTGGTGTTCAGGGGCCTATGCTAAGGACACAAGGGTGAGGACATAGGGTCCCTTCAGCAAGGAACTCACAGGATCTCAAGGGAAGCATCAATTGAATAATCCCACTGATTACCTAACCACAAATTAAAGTAAGTACTTCAATGGTCAAGACCACACTGCTCAACAAAATTCTGTTATAAAGGGGACTGACCTAGAAGGGTTGCTGTAGGAAAAAAGGGCTCCATAGCTGGATTGGAGGAGGGGAAGGAACTAGCTAAGAGGGAGATGACAGTGCAGGCAGAAGAAACAGTCCTGAAGGACTGGGCAAGGTGTACCCACAGGCAGTGGGGAAGCCTGGGTGCAGACCGGAGTGTGACAATCCAATATTGGTTTTACAAGAGAAAGATCAGAACTCCATCTGCTTCTTTTTCTTTCAGCACAATGATGGCACTACAAGAGTCTCTTATGAAACCCCAGGCTTTCAAAAACAGTGGTTACAGAAACTGTGATACAGCAAATGTTTGTCAGAGCCAGGGAAACACACAGAGGCTATGAGAGGCAAATACAGAGGGTGACCACAGCATGATTGCTCTAGCAGCATTTTTATTTACAAACAGCAATTTCCATTGACTTTATACCATAAAAAAAGCCATTTACAAGCAAGAAACAAGAATTCAAAACAAAATTAAGCAGCACTGAAATATTCATGTCACAAATCTAAAACAAAATGAATACGAGAGTAAAATATCATTTGAATAAATAGTCTTAACTCCATGCTATAAAATAATCCTTAATGGCAAGTTACTAGTTGATACAGCATCCGCTTAGCTAGCTTCATTTACTTCACATGGCAATGAAGTGTGGAGTTGTGAGGTTACCAGTTTATATTGCAAGGTAATGACACTGTGTTAAGTCATTCAAATTGCTCAACCATTTATAACGGAAAACAATGTTAGCCCTACTAATAAAGTGGTGAGAGAGATGGTTTTCACATTAGAAAAATGGTTATTTTAAAACAAAGTAAGTCTACCTCTTACTCTAGTCAGGGCAGCAACCAGAGGCTTGGGTCTCAAGTCCAAAGGTTGAATTCACAGCATAACTTGTCACTGAGGGGCAGCAAGAGGTCTATTTACTGAATCTGCCATACGGAGCACCAAGGCCACAAGGCCAACTCCGGGACTTGATGAAGAACTACAATAGCCCTGTCTGTGCCAGACCCAGGGAGGGAACCAGAGGATGCCGGTTCTCTTCTGGGCTGAGAAGTCAAGCACTGGACAGAAACAGTGGGACCACTCTGGCACTTATTGAAGAAGACGCATGTGATGGGTGACAACCGTTACAATTTTGGAACAATGTGAATGACTTTCCTGAACTTTCAGTTCAGTTGCACTGAGTAATATGAAATCTATGACTTATGAACTAGTTTCATATAAAGAATTTACATAATTCCCCAATACTTTCATATATAAAATTTAATAAATAACCCTGACCAGTCTAGAAGCACCATTCAAGGGGCATGTGCCCTTGGAAAATAGTTTAGGTGTTGCATATTTGAGTCCCTTTCAGTGGAGGCTTCACAGGAAACCATTATAGATTAAAACTATAATGACGATGACAACAACAAAAAAAGTCACAGTAACAAACAGGAAAAAAGTTAAAATAAAACACATTGATCTCTAAAGTAAAGCTCATTCATGTGGATGACTCCCCCAGCCCTTGTTTTGTGTTCCTGCAAATTCTTCCTAGAATCCAGGACATTAAAATAAAAATAAAAACAATCACACACAGAAATATGCAGGGCTTATGACCTAGGCTAAGGGAAAAACAGAGTTGGCAATAACCGCTATCATTAGAAGAGACATATATTCATGCTCTCAAAGATTTAAAAATGAGCAATTTAGTTGTACAGTATATTCTGCTTAACAGTGAATTGACAGTATCCTTTCTGCGGTTTAAAAAGAGGAAAGAAAATAAAACAACACACATAAAGAAAAAAAAATATGCCAAGGCAGAGCCAATTGGTTGGGAGGCTTTCCCACTAACCAAAAAATTTACTTGTCTTCATAAATTGTATTTACAAATATATTTTAAAATGTATTTACAGCTTTAGTAGAAATTAGAGGGTAGAGAACTGATTGGAATGAAAACTGTTTAAAACCACAAACATTAGTAAAAGTATAAAATATTTTGTCTTCACAGTTTGTAATAACAGGTTAGACATTAATAGAAAAGGACGCTGTCACTGTCTTCACATTGTCAAATATGGAAAAGGTAGCTCAGAGACTCAATTATGAACAAGCCTAGAGGAATTCAGGATATATTTTACTGTAAAAGATTTCTTCACATATCACTTTCTCTTAGTTGATTTCTGCATCTGTTATAAATGAAACATCTAACCTAAAACTGTACAGAAATAGGGACTTTGCTTTCCAGAAGGAGTTGCTCTAAGGAGCTAGTTACACAGCGTCCTTCGTCTGTGGAGACGTGGAGTGAACTTCAGGGAGAGAATGGTTCTGTTCTGTGGTCATGTTAACCTCCTGGCACATCCTCCTGTGGCAAGGCACAATCAACTGCTGCGGCCCATCAGAGTGGAACCACCCCACAGCCCTACCCACTAGAGGCAGACCGTGGAGCACTCAGCTCAGTGGCTCCACAGCACTGTGCTGGCCTACACACCTCCCTTGAAGCCCTGCGAACTTTACAGTACTGTGTTATGGCTTGAGAATTCATTCTAACACTGCTAGCAGTGGAGAGAGAGGGTAAAGTGTTAGCAACATGAATGGGAGCAAGTGGAACTTGCAAAATGCGATATCATGATTATTAGAGAGAAACGCAATCAATTTTCTGCCCCTTAACAGTCCCATTACAATGTTTGAACCTGAACTGTACAATCAAAGCAATGTATATTTTTGTCAAAGACAATTTTGGATAAGTCACTCTTTGGTAAACTCAAACCAGCTAAACACATTTACAAACACAACAACTCCATGTAAATAAGGTTCAGACAGACACAGAGACAAGATCCAGGACATGGAGGTACTGCCTCAAGAGCTCTCTCCACTCCCCACCTGTCTCACATCCTGTGGAAAGCTCTGGAGACCTCACAGAAGGCCCGAGCCTGAGTGAAGAGGAGGTTCCTTCCCTGAGCTTGACCTCTTCTGTCCCTGGATATGGGTCTTTCTTGTCACAAACTTAAATTTGTATCACAATTTTTTTTTTTGCATTTAACTCTTAAAAAGAAAAATCAAAAGCAAACTTATTCATGTAAGGAAAAAAAATCACAAACATTTACCTGAAACCCCAGAACACATTTAAGTGGGTAAACACTTGGAGTCCAGCCTCCCCTTGAGGCACAAAGTTGAGCAAGTGCTTCAGGGAGAGAACAAACCCCGACTTAGGCAGTTTGACGAGGAAAAAGGCATACTATATACCCGATTAGCAAGAGCTGCTCCCAGGAGCAGCAAGGTTAGAGTGAAATCTACGTGAATTAACACTGAGGTGTAGCCCAGCAGTTCACATATGAACAAATCCTGTGTGCTAAAGAGGTGCTACTGCTCAGCCACCACTGCAGGGGGGCGGCTGGGGAGCTGCCACACAGGGAGGGCTTGAATGACTTCTTAAAAAAAAAATTAAGTCCTAAACAAAGAGATCCCCCCACCCCAACCCACCATTCTTGGTATTTTAAGAGCCAGAAAAGCATGGGAAACCAGCAAACACTGATTTCTGCATTCTTTAACTCCTAGCCTGTGAGGTTGGTCTGTCTGGATTTTTAAGGTGGCTGTGGATATGTGCTGGTTGTGGGTCTCCGAGCTCAGGTTCTCAGGAAGAGAGATTAAGAGTGCTGACATTCTCTGGGCGGCCTGCAGCAAGACTCACCACCAACTTGTTCTTAAAAGTTCTCTCTGCCAGAGTCCACAGTACCAAAGTGATCTTATAAAGCCTGTTGGTACAACAGTGAACTGAAGCTAAAGTATTACTACAACAATGTCTTTGTATAGCAACCTGTTTGCCAGCACATGCTTTTGAGGTCTCTTTTCAAGCAATGAACTTGGGAGGAAAATAACTTAATTCACTATTATCATTGGATTTCACATTTTCTACAACTATACTGACCTAAAAGACACTGAACATAAAAATAGCACCACATGACCAAAAATATGGTGACACACATACAGATTTGGTGACACACAGAGTATCTTAGAGGGCTTTGAACTGTTGGTTTCTTTCAGCAGGAAACACTGAGAGAGTGGGGGAGCCACAGAGGCTCGCATTAGCACACACAATACTAAGATAGATATATTGCTTGCAATTCCCATAGAGTATAGCTTTACAAAAAGTACAAATTCCAAGTTTTGCAGTTTCCCTGGGAACTGCACATAGAAAAAGTTGCTGTGCACCTGAACTGGCTGCTTGAAAAGAGAAAGAAAAAAAACAGGAAAAACAAACAACACTGCTTGAAGAATTTTGTAGACAGAACTACAAATTCTTTTCCTTTAGTGCGAGTAATAACTCATGGTAGAGTGATTCGATTCAGTTACCTGGAATGTATGTTTCTACAGTACGGAATGAAGGTAGATTTGTAGGCCAGTAAAAACCTTGAAAACCACTGCTCCTTTGGGGTTGGCTAATAGAACACTATACTATGTAAAAAGGTCAGCACCACAGGTCATCCAGCTTACTTGCTGGACAACGAACAAAAATTCCAAACAGTTTCAAACTAGAGTTGAAGAAATTTTATGGCATTTGGTTTATGTAGTTTGCTGTGAAGCAGAGCTATGAACACTGTGATTTGCTTTGTCTGCTTCAGGACACAATGATTAATAGATATGAAAACCTAGTGACATTCTTCTGTAGGGGAAACCAAGGGGCAAAACTAACATATTAGGTAGGGATGAGACAGAGTTAAAAGCTCTGTTCACATTGTATTAAATTATATATTTCTCTTACATTCACCTCAACCAGAATAAACTCAAATTTCAGAATGTATATATAATTATATATATAATAATCACTTTATTATATATATATATATAGTCTAACTACCCCCAAAAAGTAAATTTAACTTAGAAAAGGTTACCCATTTGTATCAGCTGGATAGCATCCTAGTCTCCCTGTGGAAATAAATGCACTGGTGCTAGTGCCCACAGTGAGAGAGGATGCCTCTTGGCAGAGAACGTAGGGTCAACCAGTTGGCATAGCTAAATCACTGGCAGGTTTGGGATTAAGAGTTCAGCCAAAGAAAAATACTGTCAGCCTGTGTTTTCCCTGGATACTTTGCCCTTCATGCTTTGAGCTCCTTGGGGGAGACAGAATGGGAGAAAGGATAAACACAAAGAAGTGTTCCATCCAGAAACTTTAGAAGAACTGCCAAGAGACCAAGAGCTTTCCAGATGGTTGGGAAAACAAAAGATTACACAAAGCAAATCACAAATATGCATTGATTAATGTGCTTTGTTTGGGTGCACTTCTTTACCATCCTAATCAGGAGCATCAGACACTGTATGAATTTCCATGCGAGAGTCTAGGGCCATCTCTGAGACTGACGCATCGTTTTCTAGTTTCTGTTCCACATACACATCTGTTCTCTCAGGGGACTCAATGCGACTCCTGACTTCTGCAACGCCTGGGTGGTTTTTCCGCAGGTGCTGGTTGAGGGTACCTTGGAATGGAAAGCACTTCCCACAAATCTCACAGCGGAATGGTTTGTCATCAGTGTGGCCCCGGATGTGGTACTCTAATTGGTCCTTGCGTGTGTACTTCTTCCCACAGAACTTGCACACAAAGGGGGTGATTCCCATATGGAGTCGCATGTGCCTGTCAAGGCTTCCTTTCTGGTTGAAGGACTTCCCACAGTAAATGCAGATCAACCTCTCGTTGTATGGATACCAGTGACCCCTGGCACTCCTCTCCCTGGGACTGCTCTCATAGCCTGGGTTGTTCATCATAGCTTCACTGTCAGACCCCGGCACCACACCCTGGAGGTCACTGTGCAGGTGGACTGACAAAGCTCGTTTTTGACGGGCACGTCCTCCTCGGAAACAGCTCAGCATGGACCTTGATGGGCTAGAATTACTTAAACTTCCAAAAGTATCTGATACACTGGATGGCTGTGAGGCTGCCTGGGAGTAGGAATAGGCATGCTGGAGCACAGAGCCATAGGAGCCCACGTTCACTGCTACAACTTGCTCCCCATCAACCATCTCCGTGTGGTACCCATCGTCCCCCACGGAGGAGCTGTCAGAACAGCTGGGCCGGTCGGACTTTTCCATCTTTACTTTTACCTCAGCAATCTGGCTCTCTCTCACCAAAAGGTCCCCTTGCTCATGGTCCCCCTCAATCTGAATCTCATACTCAGACACGCTCCCACTGCTCCCCCGGTCTGAGTGCCCCTCCTCCTGTAAGCGGCTACGCAAAGCTTTGCTGGGGGTTGTCTCCATCCGGAGCTCACTGCTGGTGGTGGGCTGCCGTACCTGAGGGCAGTATGGAGGGGAGATCTCAACTGGGTTGGCGAAGAAGCTGCCATCTTTCACTCCGTTACGGCTCTCGGGATTCTCTTCAGCACCAACAGTGACAGAGTCAACGTCTCCAACACTGATTTTTGAATGGATGCTCTCTAGGATCTGTGTGCACTTGTCAATGACACATTGCATCTGAAGAAAGCTGGCTGCAGTCAGAAAACTGACAACATCCTTCAACTGCAAGGACATTCTTCCAGTGTAACAAAAGGAAAGCAATTGCTCAAACACATTGGGATTTTTAATCACTGATATTGACAAGCCACTCATGGTACTTAGTGCCGAATGGTCTCGGAAATATGGGGAACTGGCTGCGAGAACTGCTTTGTGGGCTCGAAATGGCTGACCCTGAATGTGGACAATGATGTCACATAGTTTCCCTTGCAGGCGGAGTTCGTTTAGCTGGCTCAGAACGGTGCTGCTGTACTCGGGCACATCAAACTGAATAAAACTGCTGCTGTCCATTTCTACTGACATGAAGCGTAATCTGTGGAAAGAGAGAGTTTTTATAATTTGCCAAAGACTTTACAAGCGGCATGAACACAAGCTCACCACATTGAGACACCAGCTACTGTACTTCCTGAGGACTGCCTGAACGTTCTTCCTCTGGCTCTCTCTCCCTCTTTTTTTTTAAAGTCTTTCGTCTTTCACTTAATTCATCTAAAACAAAAGAACTGATCAATTAACCCAATGTCATTATTGCCCTACATTCATCTTGAGCAAAACTAAAACACTACCGCAAGGCTATTTTAGCTTTGAATGAGAAAGTGGTATCCATTTAAGGAAAAATACTTCCTGGGACCATCTACTTTTGAGGATTTGAAGGTCTCTATTAACAAAAATCCATACAAATGTAAATTTATTTAAAGACTGTCTTGCCTTACTTGTGTATTTCTAATTGGTATTTTTCAAAAACACAGCACTTGGACACATTCACTTGTCAGCATACTCACCCCTTCCTATTATTTGTCTTACTGACTTCTCCTTCAGCAGTGCGTGACAGAGCAATGCTGACCTTCTAGTGAGGAGCTATTTTAGGCAGTAGGAATAAAAAGAGTCATGGATACATCAGTGGGCACTGCCCTCTGTCAGTGTTCTCAGCCTGCAAACCTGGGACAGCTCTGCTCCCTCCTGCCTGCTCTCTGCAGTGCAGATCACTCAAAACACTAGCTCTAACAATCATATATTAGCTTTTAAAACCTAACCAAAAGAAATGTAAACACCAACTTAAAAGTATGGTATTGGATAAAAATCAAAATGGAATAAAAGGACTTAGAACATACAATATGCAGCAAAAAGGTTCAGGAGTCAAGCTGACCTGTCTCCAACTTGCTTAAGAACATCTCTCTGGGGGAAAGTGAAGAAAGGGATGATATTCTCCAAAAAGAACCGTACTCATGTGGGCTGGGAACTGGCTTAATGGTAGAGAGCTTGTTAAACATACATGAAGCTCTTGGTTCCATTCTTCACTACCACATAAACAGAAAAAGCTGGAAGTGGTGCTGTGGCTCAAGGGATAAGAGTGCTAGCCTTGAGCAAAAGAAGCTCAGGAACAGTACTCAGGCCCTGAGTTCAAGCTCCAGAATTGGCAAAAGAAAAAAAGAATTGTACTCATGCTGGGCGCTGGCAGCTTACCCCTGTAATCCTAGCTCTTCAGGAGGTTGAGATCTGAGTATCATGGTTCAAAGCCAGTCCAGGCAAGGAAATCTGTGAGACTCTTATCTCTAATAAACCACCAAAAAAAACCGAAGTAGAGCTGTGGATCAAAGTGGCAGAGTGCTAGCCTTGAGCAAAAGAACTTAGGGACAGCATCCAGGCCTCAAGTTCAAGCCTCATGACTGACTCAAAAAAGAAAAAAAAAGAATTATACTCATTACCTGTTTTACAGAACTGAAGCCTCTCTATACAACACCTTAACCACAATAAAATTCTAAAAAAAATGTATCTCAAAACATAGATGGAAAGATAAACAAGATAGCGTCTAGAGACAGTCCCTATTTGGATATCTACTATAAAGTTCTTTTGCTTAAGGCTAGAGTTCAACTACTTTAGCTATACCTCCACTCTGCTTTTTTGCTGGTTAACTGGAGAGAAGAGTCTGAGGGACTTTGCTGCCTGGGCTGACTTTGATGCTTAGATCTCAACCTTCTGAGTAGCTGGAATTACAAGCATGAGCCACTGTGCCTGGCTTTTCAACTTTTCAAATTTTAATTTTTCATGAACATTGGAGCTTAGAAAACATTAATCATCAACAGCAACAACAAAAGCAGAAAACATCAATACCAAAGAAGTACAATATGGAAAATTAGTGCCTTACTTTTCTATCTTAAATACTAAAGATAAATGAAACAGCTCAACTCATGAAATTAGAAAAGGAAAAAACTATGCTCAAAGAATATTACAGAAAAAAAGCATTAAGTCACAGAGAAAAATCAGAAATTTTAAGACAAGTCTAAGACTTTCAGGAAAGGATCAGTCAGATGGTGTGACTAGATGGTAACAGAATTCTTTGTTAATCATATCGAAGTTTGAGTTAAAATATTTTAATCAAAGAGGAATTTTGCACCTTTATTTATCCTAGACTTTGAAATTGTATGGAATGGACATATTCTTAGAATAACATACATTGGCAGAGCTGAATAAGAAAGAAACATAAGTGCCAAGGCACAAATGATCTTCAGGCCATTCATACTGTTCTAGACGCATGGAGAAAGATTTAAGGCATCTCAGCTCATCTGGCATAAATTCTGACATCAGAAAATGACAAACAGCATAAAATTCCACTTGGTCTAAGTAGACTTTAAGTCCTAAAGCAAATACTAGGAAATCTAACCTATTTAGAGATGAATATAGTATGACCAAGGGCTGCTACACAAATGTAAGGATGGTTCCATGTTGTAAAATAGATTAATCAGTAATAATGGAAAGTCAATGGAGAAAAAATTCCTATGACCAAATCAGTACTAGGCCAAAAAAATGCATATGAGGAAGTTAACTCCCTTTCAGAGTAAGAAAAAAATACTCAATAAGCTAGAAATAGAACAATATTTTGTTAATATAATAAACAGTATTACTACAAAGTGCTGGCAACATCATCCTTCAAAAGATATGTTATTCCCAAAATGTACTCAATAGTGCACAAGTCCATGAGCTAGCCTCAATATGCCTCCCTCCCAGGGTTTAAAAACATATTAGCATAATAACCCATCTGAAAAGTCCTGCAGACAAGCATTCTGTTTAACTCAGCAGTTTGTGAACACATTTAACTATGGAACTCTGTTCTCAAGGTACATACATTAATATTCCAAAGAATTAGTGCTCCCTGGAGCACATTCTGGTAAACACTTCAATAGAGGCATTCCCATCAAGGCCTGGAAGACAGACAAGGTTTCTTCCCATTGTCACTCTTACTTAACTTTGTTCTGGAACCTTCCACCAAAGCAGCAAGAAAAAAGTAAGGAATATAGGCATTAAAAAGAAGAGACAAGTCAGGCACTGGTGGCTCATGCCAGTAATCCTAATTACTCAGGAGGCTGAGAAATGAGGATTGATTGAGCCAAAGACAGACCAAGCAAGAAAGTCCATGAGACTCATCTCCAATTAACTACCAGAAAAATGGGAGTGGAGATGTGGCTCCAAGTGGTAGAGCACTACTCCTGAGCACAAAGAGTCTCAGGGACAGTGTGCACAGACCCTGAGTTCAAGCTCCACAACTAACAAAAACCAAAACAAACAAAAACCAAAAAAAACACAAGCAAATCACTTGTATTCTGTTATAATCTAACTCTCTAAGCAGAAGATTTAAAAATAATTGTACATAAAAAATAGGTAAGAGGGGCTGGGAAGTTGGCTCAGTGGTAGAGCGCTTGCCTTGCATGCCTGAGGCCCTGGGTTCGATTCCTCAGCACCACATAAGCAAAAAGAAAAAAGCCGGAAGTGGCACTGTGGCTCAAGTGGTAGAGTGCTAGCCTTGAGCTGAAAAGCTGAGGGACAGCGCCCAGGCCCAGAGTTCAGGCCCCACGACCGGACCCAGAAAAAAAAAAAATAGGTAAGACAGGGCTGGGACGGTGGCTCAGTGGTATGCATGCATGAGGCCCTGGGTTTGATTACTCAAACCATGTAAGCAGAAAAAGCCATAAGTGTCACTGTGGCTCAAGTGGTAGAGCACAAGCTGAAGAGCTGAGGAAAAGCACCCAGGCCCAGAGTTCAAGCCCCATGCATGACAAACAACAACAACAAAAAAAGTAAAAGAAGAAGGTAAGATAGTAACAAGTTACAGCCAACCATATAACAGGAACTATAAAATACCTGGGGATAATAAATAGTGTTAAAAGGAAGAAAATGAGTACAAAAAGATGTGTAAATGAAGAGACAGCAAGAAAATTCCATACTATATAGACATTTTCTTCTAAAATGAATTTATAATTATAATGCAAGTATCAATGAAATATTTTCTTAGAAACATGATTTCAATATCTAGAACGAACACACACACACACACACACACACACACACACACACACACACACACACACACACACACACACACACACACACACACACACACACACACACACACACACACACACACACACACACACACACACACACACACACACACACACACACACACACCCTTTTTTTTTTTGCCAGTCCTGGGGCTTGAACTCAGGGCATGGGTACTGTCCCTGAGCTTCTTTTGCTCAAGGCTAGTGCTTTACCACTTGAGCCACAACGTTATTCCTGGCTTTTTTCTGTTTATGTGGTACTGAGGAATCAAACCCAGGGCTTTATGCATGCTAGGCAAGCACTCCACCACTAAGCCACATTCCCAGCCCTTTTTGTGCCAAATAAGGACTTGAACTCAGGACATTAAGCTCCTGCTTGGCTTTTTTGTTCATGGCTGGCACTCTACCAATTGAGCCACATGTCCACTTCTGGTTTTTTGGCTGGTTAATGGAGATAAGAGTCTTACAAATTTGTCTGTCAGGCTGGCTTCAAACTATGATCCTAGGATCTCAACCTCCTGAGTAGCTAGGATTACAAGCATGAGCTACTGGCACCACACTATTTTTATTTATTTATTTATTTAGTTAGTTAGTTGGTCATGGAGCCTAAACTCTGGGCCTGGGCACTGTCCCTCAGTTCTTCAGCTCAAGGCAAGCGTTCTACCATTTGAGCCACATCGCCACTTCCAGCCTTTTCTGCTGAGGAATCAAACCCAGGGCATCATGCATGCAAGGCAAGCACTCTACCACTGAGCCACCTTCCCAGCCCCACAAACATTTTTATAGTTTCATGTTTCTAGTGGTTTTCAGTGTTTTCATTTGTTTTAGTTCTGGGAATCCAATCCAGAACCTCAAGCATGCCAGGCAAATGTTCAACTACTGAGCTACATCCCAGCACTAACTGTAGTTACATTTTTTTTAATATTAAAAAATAATACAATACAATACATTTTACTTAACCTAACATCAAACCATAGTA